TACACTTGTGTGATTGAGTGAAACACTTTATCTAGTGAGGAATTATTCCATGAGCACTTTATTACATCTATGCTTAGTTAATTGATCATTCATGAGAATAGCATTTGTTGGAGAGTATGTGATTATGTGAATACCATGATAGGTAAGTGTGAATCAAGGCATGTGAGCATCTTGACTGAATTCTATTTGATGAGCTGATTTGAGTAATTACTTGTCTTGAAAATAAGAGTTTTTGAATGTGTTGAACCATTGTATTGATTGGTGGAAGACTGAGTTACATCTTGTTTGCTTGAGGACAAGCAAAGTTCTAAGTTTGGGGTTGTGATAATGATAACAGTTGAAAAACTGTTATTTTCATGCTTAAAATTGATACTAAAAGTAACCTTTAACACTAAGAAACTAGCTTGGAATCATGCTTTTGTTCATATTTTTGGAAATAAGAGAGTTGGACAGGTTTATGCTTGATTTCAGTGTTTTATGCAGGTTTTAAGGTGAATTTGGTGAAAGAAGTGAAGAAGGACAGAGATGGAATCAGAAAAGAACTCAAAAAGTGCAAAAGGAGAAGCCGCAAGTACCGCTCAACGGCAGTTTACCGTTGAGCGGCACTCAGGAACACCCGTTGGCTCCGTTGAGGGGTGAAAGTGCAGCTGAGGGGAAAATTGATTACGCACCGATACCGCTGAGCGGCAGTTTACCGTTGAGCGGTGGTCTTTTGGGCTTAGGCCCACTTTTCTGTAATATTACGAATAGTATATAAGCTTTAGGACTTCCTAGGGTTTGTTTCTTTGGTTGAGACGAAGCAAACACTCACTTTTCCACCCGTTGAAGGAAGATCTTGGATGCTTAAGCTACCTACTCATCTTTCTACGATTCTATCTTTCATTCTTTCATTATTGTTCATCTAGTTTCACCATGAATATGGTGAACTAAACCTTGTATTGTTGTTGGGGAATCAATGTAATCTTGTGAAACTCTCATATATGGAATTTATGTTTAAACATCTTATTTGAGATACATGTTTTCTTTCATCATTAGTTAGGATTTTTCCTCTTTGCTCAAAGCATGCATTGTTTAACTCATTCGATGTCATGATTATTGATTTTGTCGATATGGGAACGTACGGGGAAATCTAGATCCGGGGAAAATCTCCCAATAGCATATTGCCTAGACATAGGAATATGAGGGTTGTTGTCTTTAAGCTTTTGTGCTTCATAATTAATTATTAGGGATGCTAGGAATTGTATGAACTCGTAATTAAGGATAGGCCTTCTTGCAAGGTGATTTAGAGAGTGGCATTAACATTGATGAAAAAAAATGATGAATTCCTAAAAGTATATGAGAGTGGATAAGATGAAATTGATAACCCCAACAACATACTCATCCATTTAATTCATTCAAGTGTTTGTATTCCTCTTTTCCATTGATCAAACTCATGCATACATGTTTAATTATTGTCTTTTGCATTTAAAACCTATAATCAATTGTTCACAAGTCTTAAATAATCAACAAATCATATAACTAACTAGGTCGTGAGTCCTTTGGGAGAATGATACTTGGTCTTACCGAGTTTTATTACTTGATACGATTCGGTCACACTTGCTGAGGGTTAAACAAGTTTTTGGCGTCGTTTTTCGGTGTTCATAAATTTGTCATCAGATAACAGTTGAAAAAATGTTATTTTTATACTTAATTTTGACATCAAAAACACCCTTTATGACTTAGAATCTAGCTTGAAATCATCTTTTACTTAAGTTGTGAAAATAAGATAGTTGGATGGGTTTTATGCTTGATTTTCCTTGTTTTGGCAGGAATTTAGAAGAATTAGATGAAAGAAGTTGAAGTAGCAAGGAGTTGGACTCAGGAAAGGAAGGAAAAGTGCATAATTCAAGTATCGCAGTCACCGCTCAGCGCCATTTCACCGTTGAGTGCCAAGCTTGCTTGTTGAGTACATTGTCTCGCGCTTAAGCGTCATCGCTGAGGGCTGATTCTGAGTGTCGCACTCACCGCTCAGCGCCATTTCACCGCTGAGTGGTCTTAATTTGGGCTTGGGCCAATTTTCTGTATTTTTAATAAACTATATAAGGGTTTAGTTGACCTAGGGTTGAGATCTTTGGACAGAAAGAGGCGAAATCACACTCCTTTCACCCCTTGGAGGCGGATTTTGGATGCGGAAGCTCTGATCTTCAACTTTTAGGGTTCTATCTTTAATTCTTTTCATTATTTTCATCTAGTTTCACCATGTCTATGGTGAACTAAACCTCCATTGTTGTTGGGGAAACGATGTAATCCTTTGAAACTCTCATGTATTGAATTGATTCTTGATTTTATATGTTTTACTTCATTAATTGTTAGGGTTTTTCCTTTATACTCTATGCATGCTTTGTTTAATTCATTCAATTGCATGATTATTGATGTTATCAATATGGACACATATAGGTAAATCTAGAATTGGAGAAATTCTCCCGGAAGCAATATTACCTACCTAGACATAGGAATAGGAGGATCGGTTGCCTTTAAGCTTCTGTGTGAATGTAATGCATGATTAATTGCTAGGGAGACAAGACATTGTGAACTAGTAATTAGGATTAGACTTTATTTACCGAGACATCGGGGTTTAAGGTAAATTAGAAAGTGGCATTAACATTAATGAAGAAGATAAATTCATAAATACATTTTGAGTGGATATGATAAGTCGTAAACCCCAACAACTTCATCATTCTATATTTTACATTAATCACTTTTGCTCTTTCAATCCAATTGGTCAACACTTGCATTCATGTTTATTTTCCGTAATCTAAACACGATGATTTCGTTTACAACTCTAATTTAATCAACAAATCACATAAGTGTTTAGGCCTTGAGTCTCTTGAAAAACGATACNCCTTGAGTCTCTTGAAAAACGATACTTGGTCTTACCATTTATTTTTACTTGATACGATTCGGTACACTTGTCGAAGGGTTAACAACCCACCTAGATTAGTTCAACTTTTTATGATGTATTCATACCTAGATCAGTTCAATCTTTAATGATATTAAGCTTTTGTTTCTACATGGTTCGTATTCTGGTCACAAATTGTTCTTACATCCTTTTTATATTCGTAAGTGAAGGTGTAGTGCAACTAATTCAATGTTTTGTTGTTGTAGGAGTTGTCTAATACAGGTTTTAATCACCTGTTTCGTGAAAGGACCTCAAAATGTACAACATGGAAACTTCAAGAAAGTTCAGTTTCAATATGATTGAATTTATAAATGTATCTGTCTGTAATTCTTTAGTAGTATCAGGAAAATTCATCTGATTATGAACTGGGAATATAAAAGACAATTTGTGAATACTTTAAAGTTGCATAGAGTGACCACATATAGAAGCTTTTAACAGTTTCAAACATTTAATCATTTTGTACCAAACATCACTTTATACCAGACGGTGTAGAGTACAAATTAGGTTTTTTTTTTCCCAAATTCATCCAATTATTTTATATTTCATACAAATGGAAGTCTTTTAAAATTGTAGAGTGAACTTTATGGTAATTATATCGCACATCAGAAAGAAAAAGAAACAACAGTGTCTTTTTATAGTTTGTGACCTAAATGGAGCATTTATGAGATGAAACAAGATTGAGGTTTGCTGGGTTGGGCTGGTTGTACAAAATGTTGGCTTGTCCATCCCAAATTGAGAGCTGAGCCTGGGACCTTAGTGAAGGGGGCAACAAGGCCCCTGACTTTCCCCAGAGTCAATGTTTTCGAAGCCATGAACTTTCAATTAGATCACCAAGCTTTTATCTACAGCATTCAGGAAAATCTTTTACTTCACACCCCAACCACAATGTTTTTTTGTTTTTTTATAGACTGAAAAGAATATATATATAACAAATTTACATAAAAAGAACGAAGGAATGAGAGAAAACTCCCAATGCTATTTTGAAAAAATATATATGAACAACCAGGGAAGTTGTATACAACCCTGCGTTGATTGTTTTGACAAAAAAAGTTATATATAATGATTAACATTTTTTTTGCTCTATTTATTTCTTTTTGGTATATCATAAAAGCGAAAATAATGATTATATGTTGATTTAGCTTTAACATGCCTCTTATGTTAAGGTCCCTTATCAGCTTAAGCATGAATAATATGGACTAACTTATGTTATACAAAAGTTGAGTTTATAGTCGGAGGAATGTTTGTATCCGTTAGGACTGATAGTCAAGGAAGTTTTAGGATAGAAGGGGAAATAGTGTAAAATACAAACTAACTGAGAAACAAGTGTGATTCAAATTGAAATCTGAAAAGAACTATCAATTCATCTGCATATTTGCATTACTGTTACACTCCCTCATTCACGAAAAAGTCAGTTAAACATGTCTTCATCACATGAAGTCTGTCCTTGAATTGTTTTATCCTTCAACAAACTATTCCTTTAGCATAAGTAAAACATCACCTGATCTATCTCAATCCCATCTCAAAATTATAATCTCGATCTGAATTTCCATCATCTTTTTTTTTATCAAACGCTTCAAGGCTTTATGAAACCCATCAATTTCTTCATAGTAGACACAACTAAGTGTTGCTAGTCCACCGAAAAATGCCATCATTATAAGGATAAATGTAACTAAACTATAACTGTTCTTTGAAACATTCAAGTAGAACGAATGTACATTACTTGCATTTATCCTCATAACTAAGAAATCTATCATTAGACCCATCGAGTATGAAGTGCTAACTTACGTCTAAACTTTCTATTATTTCAAAGTGCATCTGCATACTTGGAGGCATATCAGCAAAATAATACCTTGAGAATACTTTTATTTTTCCCAAACTCTTAGGCACTTCAGATTCAAGAAGATGCAGCATTTTATCTTTTTCATTCCGTATCCAATCACGCCGCTTGTCACTCCATTGTCTCGGTGTTCCATGAAGGATAAAACGGACTTGAGGAGCTCCTTGCATGAGCCTTTTAGAGATTCTCTCAAACACACCATGGTTAGTTAGGTATGCCCCAGCAGTGTTCAGACCAACATCAACATAATGAATATCGCTGATGCTGTTCAGTAAGTCTTCCTTTGTTTTGGGAACAACGTAAATATCCTCAGATCCCACATCGGGTGAATTCACGTTAGAACCAATGTCTGAGAATCCCATTTCAGTAACTATCTGGTTCAGCACAGTTCCACCTTTGCTAAATCCAAGGATGAATGTCTGGGGCTGAGAGAAAGAACAGGCAGAAGTGAAGCCAGACTTTGAATCTACTTGCGTTCCTAAGATGACTTTTTTTGCCTGCATTACAAGAAATTCAAAAAATTGAAAGAAAAACATTTGTAATAATAAGCTGCAGACATGAACGGGAACCTTTTTTTTTCAGTTTAACTATTACACTCACATATCTCCAGTCATGTAGCACATTGGTGTTATGCCTTTTATATAGGATCATTAACTTAGATAAGTTAAGGAGCAAGAACATGATTAGGATATGCAATAACCTTGCTAAAGATGTTTGTTTTGCCTCAAATGGTTAGTAAGGTTAGAAGATGAGTCTTAACTACAACAATCAATATGGAAATTTAAGTTGCCAATAAGCATGCCTTCCTGGCATTTAAGATGGAGATCATACTTCTTCCAGGCAATTAGATAAGAGTGACACAGTTGATGTAGATGCAGGGAAACCATTTGGATTATATGAACTTGGTTCTCCGTATTGATTCATGGACAGTATGAAGTCCTTGTAGACAGCAAAAGGTCCATTAAAAACAGAAGCCTCAATAACCCAAGCATTGATTGAAGAACCAAATTTGGTCACAACAATTTCGGATAGTTTTTGTAAATTTGATATCCTCTCAATCACTGGGTTACCCGACCCTTCAACCCGGTCACCACAAAAAAATATAGCATTGGCGATAGGTACCTGTAACAAATCAGAAAAACATTTGGTATGCAGAAGGAAAGGTGGTAAACAATACAAGTTCGAAAACATCATCTTTATCCAAGATAATGAAACAGGGAATTCTGAATTTTAAGGTTCAATCACATTGAAATTATCTATTTTACATTTTCCAAAGTTTTAACCTTTATGCAGGAATCCCTAACATCACATAATTCAACTACATTTCAGCTAATGACCATAAGATGCCAATCTGCCCAACAAAAAAGCTTACCATTGAGTACTTTCAACTAGTAGAATCAAATGATTAACTGAGTTCTACTAAGGCATGCATATTTGATTGTGGTTAAATGAAAGGCAAAGTTGATTCATGTGACATTGTGATAGTAGAGTGAATGAGTGACCTCTATATACACTTGTGTGATTGAGTGAAACACTTTATCTAGTGAGGAATTATTCCATGAGCACTTTATTACATCTATGCTTAGTTAATTGATCATTCATGAGAATAGCATTTGTTGGAGAGTATGTGATTATGTGAATACCATGATAGGTAAGTGTGAATCAAGGCATGTGAGCATCTTGACTGAATTCTATTTGATGAGCTGATTTGAGTAATTACTTGTCTTGAAAATAAGAGTTTTTGAATGTGTTGAACCATTGTATTGATTGGTGGAAGACTGAGTTACATCTTGTTTGCTTGAGGACAAGCAAAGTTCTAAGTTTGGGGTTGTGATAATGATAACAGTTGAAAAACTGTTATTTTCATGCTTAAAATTGATACTAAAAGTAACCTTTAACACTAAGAAACTAGCTTGGAATCATGCTTTTGTTCATATTTTTGGAAATAAGAGAGTTGGACAGGTTTATGCTTGATTTCAGTGTTTTATGCAGGTTTTAAGGTGAATTTGGTGAAAGAAGTGAAGAAGGACAGAGATGGAATCAGAAAAGAACTCAAAAAGTGCAAAAGGAGAAGCCGCAAGTACCGCTCAACGGCAGTTTACCGTTGAGCGGCACTCAGGAACACCCGTTGGCTCCGTTGAGGGGTGAAAGTGCAGCTGAGGGGAAAATTGATTACGCACCGATACCGCTGAGCGGCAGTTTACCGTTGAGCGGTGGTCTTTTGGGCTTAGGCCCACTTTTCTGTAATATTACGAATAGTATATAAGCTTTAGGACTTCCTAGGGTTTGTTTCTTTGGTTGAGACGAAGCAAACACTCACTTTTCCACCCGTTGAAGGAAGATCTTGGATGCTTAAGCTACCTACTCATCTTTCTACGATTCTATCTTTCATTCTTTCATTATTGTTCATCTAGTTTCACCATGAATATGGTGAACTAAACCTTGTATTGTTGTTGGGGAATCAATGTAATCTTGTGAAACTCTCATATATGGAATTTATGTTTAAACATCTTATTTGAGATACATGTTTTCTTTCATCATTAGTTAGGATTTTTCCTCTTTGCTCAAAGCATGCATTGTTTAACTCATTCGATGTCATGATTATTGATTTTGTCGATATGGGAACGTACGGGGAAATCTAGATCCGGGGAAAATCTCCCAATAGCATATTGCCTAGACATAGGAATATGAGGGTTGTTGTCTTTAAGCTTTTGTGCTTCATAATTAATTATTAGGGATGCTAGGAATTGTATGAACTCGTAATTAAGGATAGGCCTTCTTGCAAGGTGATTTAGAGAGTGGCATTAACATTGATGAAAAAAAATGATGAATTCCTAAAAGTATATGAGAGTGGATAAGATGAAATTGATAACCCCAACAACATACTCATCCATTTAATTCATTCAAGTGTTTGTATTCCTCTTTTCCATTGATCAAACTCATGCATACATGTTTAATTATTGTCTTTTGCATTTAAAACCTATAATCAATTGTTCACAAGTCTTAAATAATCAACAAATCATATAACTAACTAGGTCGTGAGTCCTTTGGGAGAATGATACTTGGTCTTACCGAGTTTTATTACTTGATACGATTCGGTCACACTTGCTGAGGGTTAAACAAGTTTTTGGCGTCGTTTTTCGGTGTTCATAAATTTGTCATCAGATAACAGTTGAAAAAATGTTATTTTTATACTTAATTTTGACATCAAAAACACCCTTTATGACTTAGAATCTAGCTTGAAATCATCTTTTACTTAAGTTGTGAAAATAAGATAGTTGGATGGGTTTTATGCTTGATTTTCCTTGTTTTGGCAGGAATTTAGAAGAATTAGATGAAAGAAGTTGAAGTAGCAAGGAGTTGGACTCAGGAAAGGAAGGAAAAGTGCATAATTCAAGTATCGCAGTCACCGCTCAGCGCCATTTCACCGTTGAGTGCCAAGCTTGCTTGTTGAGTACATTGTCTCGCGCTTAAGCGTCATCGCTGAGGGCTGATTCTGAGTGTCGCACTCACCGCTCAGCGCCATTTCACCGCTGAGTGGTCTTAATTTGGGCTTGGGCCAATTTTCTGTATTTTTAATAAACTATATAAGGGTTTAGTTGACCTAGGGTTGAGATCTTTGGACAGAAAGAGGCGAAATCACACTCCTTTCACCCCTTGGAGGCGGATTTTGGATGCGGAAGCTCTGATCTTCAACTTTTAGGGTTCTATCTTTAATTCTTTTCATTATTTTCATCTAGTTTCACCATGTCTATGGTGAACTAAACCTCCATTGTTGTTGGGGAAACGATGTAATCCTTTGAAACTCTCATGTATTGAATTGATTCTTGATTTTATATGTTTTACTTCATTAATTGTTAGGGTTTTTCCTTTATACTCTATGCATGCTTTGTTTAATTCATTCAATTGCATGATTATTGATGTTATCAATATGGACACATATAGGTAAATCTAGAATTGGAGAAATTCTCCCGGAAGCAATATTACCTACCTAGACATAGGAATAGGAGGATCGGTTGCCTTTAAGCTTCTGTGTGAATGTAATGCATGATTAATTGCTAGGGAGACAAGACATTGTGAACTAGTAATTAGGATTAGACTTTATTTACCGAGACATCGGGGTTTAAGGTAAATTAGAAAGTGGCATTAACATTAATGAAGAAGATAAATTCATAAATACATTTTGAGTGGATATGATAAGTCGTAAACCCCAACAACTTCATCATTCTATATTTTACATTAATCACTTTTGCTCTTTCAATCCAATTGGTCAACACTTGCATTCATGTTTATTTTCCGTAATCTAAACACGATGATTTCGTTTACAACTCTAATTTAATCAACAAATCACATAAGTGTTTAGGCCTTGAGTCTCTTGAAAAACGATACTTGGTCTTACCATTTATTTTTACTTGATACGATTCGGTACACTTGTCGAAGGGTTAACAACCCACCTAGATTAGTTCAACTTTTTATGATGTATTCATACCTAGATCAGTTCAATCTTTAATGATATTAAGCTTTTGTTTCTACATGGTTCGTATTCTGGTCACAAATTGTTCTTACATCCTTTTTATATTCGTAAGTGAAGGTGTAGTGCAACTAATTCAATGTTTTGTTGTTGTAGGAGTTGTCTAATACAGGTTTTAATCACCTGTTTCGTGAAAGGACCTCAAAATGTACAACATGGAAACTTCAAGAAAGTTCAGTTTCAATATGATTGAATTTATAAATGTATCTGTCTGTAATTCTTTAGTAGTATCAGGAAAATTCATCTGATTATGAACTGGGAATATAAAAGACAATTTGTGAATACTTTAAAGTTGCATAGAGTGACCACATATAGAAGCTTTTAACAGTTTCAAACATTTAATCATTTTGTACCAAACATCACTTTATACCAGACGGTGTAGAGTACAAATTAGGTTTTTTTTTTCCCAAATTCATCCAATTATTTTATATTTCATACAAATGGAAGTCTTTTAAAATTGTAGAGTGAACTTTATGGTAATTATATCGCACATCAGAAAGAAAAAGAAACAACAGTGTCTTTTTATAGTTTGTGACCTAAATGGAGCATTTATGAGATGAAACAAGATTGAGGTTTGCTGGGTTGGGCTGGTTGTACAAAATGTTGGCTTGTCCATCCCAAATTGAGAGCTGAGCCTGGGACCTTAGTGAAGGGGGCAACAAGGCCCCTGACTTTCCCCAGAGTCAATGTTTTCGAAGCCATGAACTTTCAATTAGATCACCAAGCTTTTATCTACAGCATTCAGGAAAATCTTTTACTTCACACCCCAACCACAATGTTTTTTTGTTTTTTTATAGACTGAAAAGAATATATATATAACAAATTTACATAAAAAGAACGAAGGAATGAGAGAAAACTCCCAATGCTATTTTGAAAAAATATATATGAACAACCAGGGAAGTTGTATACAACCCTGCGTTGATTGTTTTGACAAAAAAAGTTATATATAATGATTAACATTTTTTTTGCTCTATTTATTTCTTTTTGGTATATCATAAAAGCGAAAATAATGATTATATGTTGATTTAGCTTTAACATGCCTCTTATGTTAAGGTCCCTTATCAGCTTAAGCATGAATAATATGGACTAACTTATGTTATACAAAAGTTGAGTTTATAGTCGGAGGAATGTTTGTATCCGTTAGGACTGATAGTCAAGGAAGTTTTAGGATAGAAGGGGAAATAGTGTAAAATACAAACTAACTGAGAAACAAGTGTGATTCAAATTGAAATCTGAAAAGAACTATCAATTCATCTGCATATTTGCATTACTGTTACACTCCCTCATTCACGAAGAAAGTCAGTTAAACATGTCTTCATCACAATGAAGTCTGTCTTGAATTTGTTTTATCCTTCAACAAACTATTCTTTAGCATAAGTAAAACATCACCTGAATCTATCTCAATCCAATCTCAAAATTATAATCTCGATCTGAATTTCCATCATCTTTTTTTTTATCAAACGCTTCAAGGCTTTATGAAACCCATCAATTTCTTCATAGTAGACACAACTAAGTGTTGCTAGTCCACCGAAAAATGCCATCATTATAAGGATAAATGTAACTAAACTATAACTGTTCTTTGAAACATTCAAGTAGAACGAATGTACATTACTTGCATTTATCCTCATAACTAAGAAATCTATCATTAGACCCATCGAGTATGAAGTGCTAACTTACGTCTAAACTTTCTATTATTTCAAAGTGCATCTGCATACTTGGAGGCATATCAGCAAAATAATACCTTGAGAATACTTTTATTTTTCCCAAACTCTTAGGCACTTCAGATTCAAGAAGATGCAGCAT